GTTCAACAGTTTATTGCTGTCTTTGAGTAGCTTGCCTTTCAGCTTGAGCTCAAAATCTAACTTTACATTGTTCCAAAGTCTCTTCCTGTATTTGAGCAGCCTGTCTTGCAGCTTGTGCTTGAAGTCTTTTAGCGGCAGAAGACTTTCCATAGAAAAAGCATTTCTTGGGTGGCATAATCACCTGTATCACTAAACAATAATTTGCAATTCCCAAAGTTACTAAATCACTTATGAAACCACTTAGCACTATTTAAAGAAAACTGTTTTTGGAAATACTGAATTGACAGCAAGGTGATCTGAGTGTTTCCTGCCATAACGCTTTCTATGTGCAAAACGGGCTTATGTTTATATGTTTATTACAAAAAAATGCCGCAATAATCATTAATTGTCAATTTCGTCATTAAATACTACACCAAATACAAAATAAATAGCACCATTAAATGTCTTGTAAAATAGTGGTTATTATGAAGTTATTTTGAAATTTGTAAGTTCAACCGTTTGGTTTCCTATAGCGACCAAAATAAACAAACTTCCTCTTTTATGTATATAGATTTTCTCTACTGTAACTCTTTATAAGGTTGTTGAATTTGAACAACCTCATAACCACCAAAAATGAAATTTAAATAAATCTGAATTATCTTCTTTTTTTTTCTACAATAACTTCCAATAGTAACATGAAACTACATTTGTTTATCTTCAGTAGCTTTAAACTCGTAACAGTATACATCTACTTATAATTAAGTTTTATTGTTTTATTGCCCTTTGAAGTATGTCTAACTACTATCCGCACCATAATAAGTTGTAAATCACTATTTACAACTTTCTTTGAATATTTGCAGCTAACTCTTGATGATAGATGCATTAGTACAGGTGGAGTTGCTTGGCCTACACATATTAGCCATTATGCAAAAGTCTTTGTTTAGGTCTGTTTTGTTTCATGTAGCTATATTTGAAATAAGTCCTTGTTCTGTCAAGTAAACATTCTTAATTTAACAGCCGTTAAGTACTAACAACTGATCAGAGCTTAAAAATATGGCTATTAGAGGCAGATACTCCCTAGTTTAGTTGCGAGAATATTTAAATCTTTTCTCACACTAGAACATCCTGAACAAACATCATCATATATAAAAAAATAATAGTTTTTCCACCATTTATGATAGAAACATTTTCATATATGTAAAAGCTATCTGTGCAAATAGACCAGTTTTCTACATTCTCCAATATTTTTCTAATATCAAGTTTCAATTACAGATAAAGAAATAATTGAAGGAGGACAATAGCTAATCTTGTTTTATGAATTAAATTACTATTAAAAATATGTAGATGTTTTGTGGAAGATATTATGATGGTTTTTGGTTTATAAATTTTGTCAGAGTAAGCTGCAGTGAAATACAATAGAACTTGTCATGTCAAAGCCAACAAATTTAAGGTGATTTTCTTGGTAAGGGCAAAACTGCAAAAATACAAGTGTTTTTTTTTGCCGTGGATGTACAACAGCAAGTTTGTCCAAGTTCATAAAAATATTTTTACAAGTGTTTTTATGAGTTAAATTTTAATTTTTTTCAATGAATGTCAAAAAGCAGACTTGGCTGTCACACAGAAAACAAATTATAGACAAAATATATATACATAGTTTTATTATTAATTTTGTTAATGTAAAGCACTTGTATCATTTAAAAAGTTTCTGTTAAGAACAAACTGTTCATATAAAGTCACTATCGAGTATATTAAAATGCAACAGACTGTATTTCAGATTACTTGATATTGTGTATAAGAAATTTAAATTTGTTTGACAATGAGATTAGTATCATAGTACATATCAATAAAAACTACTGAAGAGAATTCTCTACAATATAACTGACAACAGAGAAACCAGAGAACACATCTTAATCCAAAGTACTATTGGTCTGGAAAAAGTTATGATTGTGGTAACTTATTAAGGTAATTGTTGAGAAGAGAAGACTATTAGTTTGTGATATAAATAAAATCACAAGTTAAGGCCTCATTTTGACTTGTATCACACAGCTGATGCATATTATGATATTGCTTTAGCCTAATGTTTCCTGGTGACTAAACCAGTGTATAACTCTCTCAGTATGCGCTCAGTCCCTGGGACCGACCTCGTAACCATTTTGTGCTTCTTGTGGTTTTCATGCTATAACTTTTAAATTAGTAATTGTATGTTCACAAAATTTAGCAGATTATAAGTAAACATTACAATGCTTTCATACGTAAAATATCAATTTTTTTTATTAAGTCTTAAGGTTTGTTAAGCAATGTCTTTTTCATGCCCTTTTTTTCTTTTTGCACGTTGCCTATCCAACATGCAAAGTAATTTTTATTTTAAAATTAAAAGTACTTTTATGCATTAGTAAATTTTCAAATTTTTCATGCAATTCTTTATAAGGTTCAGATAGTTATCAATGTTTCTTAAGAAAGAACTTTATATTTTGTGTTATTTTCACTAACAGATCTCTGTACGGATTTGGTCAATTTGATTGATCTTGTACCCACCATAAACAAATTAGGAAATGAATATAAATTATGCCTTTTTTTGTTCTAGAATGACTACAAATTATAACAGAAAAACATATATGTTTAGACTAAATAGCTTAATTCTCATTACATTATACATATGTATATATTTATCATTTTTATTATATTGATCTTTCAGCCATGCCTAGCTAACAATACAAAAGTTACAATGACACAACACACATGCTCTCATGTTTCCATATCCAATAATATAAAACTGACCTTCAGTCTTTACAAAGTGACCTGTCTTGGCTGTGTTTTAATGGACTAGTATTTTGTAAAATACAGACACATCTCAATTATTGTACATTATATATGTATATAGATTGTTACTATTTAGAAATAAGTTTTCTTAAACTTTTTTTACTGAAAATATAGAACAGTAAATAAAGAAGTAAAGCAAACGGTTATCACTTCTAGTTACAACCTTTGTACTTGGTTGCTGCTTGACGTAGGTTGCTAAGCCTTTTCAGACTTTGCACATGGAGGATATGAAACAACATAATCTTTTCTAGGTTTTATTTATACAGTTGAACAACCAAAAAATCTTAAATTACTATATCGATACCATAGAATTTCACTATAATTTATCAAACTTAGTAACTAAGCTGTATTTCGGTCTAAATAAATATGAAATTTCGATCAGATTTAAGACACAACCTACTTTGAAATTATGTTTCGAAAGAACGAGATGGAATCCCAACACTTGAAAATGGCTGAGAAAGCAAACCATTAGGGGAACATTCTGAGCTTTCGATTGGTTATTCACATATCATATACACAAGTTAATGTATATAAGGGAGTGTTTTCAAAAATGGAAAGAGGTTAACAGGGCCACTGTGTTTGATTCAGTATATGAGCAATATCTCAGCAAATAGAAAAGATAGGAGGTTCTTATTTTATATTCTAGCTTGTAAATACTGGTAATTTGAGTTTCATATGAATTAGGAACTTAGGCTTAGTATTTTGACATCACAAACATCTAATTTGAATGAATGTTGCATTTAACATACCACGTGACATACAAAAATCAATGTTTAAGATGTTTTATTATTATTTACTTTTAAATTAAGAAATTGAATAGTAAATAATAATAAAACATCTTAAACATTGATTTTTGTATGTCACGTGGTAT